ATCACAAAATAAAAAGGATGGTTTCTCCAAAAATGAGATGTCGTTCAGTCAAATTTTGCTTCATATGCTCTCAAATGTGTCCCTACTCTCTATGTCAAAATGCAAATACCCGCAAATACTTTAAACAATGAGGAACAAAAAATGTTCATCTAAGGCAAAGAACTATCTTTCATGCAAAGAAGGAAGCTACAAACACATCTAAAATCAATAAGAAAGATGCCATCACTGACCCTGGGAAATGTATACTGGATACGAGCTCCTGGAGGAACTGAAACATGTTGAGTCTGAAGATGCTCGATTAAGCAAACACTTCCATCAAGTTCTGTAGTCACTTGGATATTCAAAGAACAGTCAGCAACCCAAGCACTTCTGTTTTCCAATTCAGTTGTTGCATGCAAGTATGCCCTCGTGTATTGGTCAGAAAACGATGAAACCAAGTGCGGATCTGATTCAGAAACAAGCAGCTTTACAGAAACACTAGCTGCAAACAAAGGTACTTATTTATAGCAAGCCATTGGAAATTAGATGGAAAGACTACAAAAATCAGGTAGAAAGGGTTCAAAGGCAAGAAAGGAAAAGATTAATAAAAAACTGAAGAAAGATGAATAGTATAGCACCTTAGATTTGTGGCAGTGTCCAGTGTGCAATATGATATATGCTTAACACCATTAAGAGAAAAACATATAATGCTGATTAAATCAAGAATACGCATAAATCTTACCCCAGTGATAGATACCGATACTTCATCCCAGATACCAGTGTTCCTATCTCTGATACAAACAGAGGTCAGATGTGTTAGGTATGATGTTTTTGTTTCTTCAAAAAATAAGGGTCGATGCTAGCTACTAGTTGTAGAACCTTTAAACAGATACATTCTTGAAAGAAAAGTCCATACGATGCAAAAATTTATAAATTACATCAATTTATATCCTTAGGCTTTAAAAGTGCATTTTTTTTCAACTGATGAAAAATCTATAAAACTATAACATTGATGTAAGATTTTTGTATCATTGTAGCTACAATGATTCTTCAAAAACCGTTAAAAGATTTAGAAGTCTCTTGTAGCTAGCATCGACCCTTATGTTTCTTCAAAAAATAAGGGAGCTACTAGCATCGACCGTTAAAAGTGCATTTATATCCTTAGTTTTAAATGATTCTGCTCCAGTGCTCAATAACCGTTCATTTAAAACTATAAAACTAAAACCAACTAGAGGATAGCCATTCATAACTTCAACTCCATTTGCTAATAAGATTTTCATGGACCTTTACCATTATGCCTTAGATCCTCTGCTGCTCAGTTTCATGCATCTCAAATAAAAATTTGAGACAACTGTAACCAACTCTTTCAAATCCATTTCAACTGATGAAAAATCTTTTGCTCATAATCCAGTCTACCCAAAATAACAACAGAAAAATAAAGTACAGTCCTACTCCTAAAGAGACTTCCAAAATGCAGAATTAAAGGATTTTGGGCATTAGGCACTTATACATGCAGGGACAAGACAACTGCATTCATGACCACAAGAATTACACAATTAAAAAAATTAAAATCAAGAGAGTCGAAGAACATATAAGAAATGTACTTTTTTTCTTTATGCTTTAGGTCGGCAATGGCATTATGAGGAGACATAAATACAGTAACAATACACTCCACAAGTCAAATTTCCATTCAAAAATTAAATATCATCATAAAATAAAAGAAAAACAAAACGAAGCCTAGTTTTTAAAAGCTAACATAAATCACCTTACTGGAGTTATCCAATCCCAACCCTCAACATATTGTGCAGCAACATCTTTCCCAATCTAAGTGGACAAAAGGTGTGAGCCATTAGGTTGCCGTCTTTCTTATTCATTTAACACCAAAAATTTAATGTTAAATCGCATTTTTTGAGATCAAACAAATTAATGAGCTTATTTTGGACAAAGATGCATACCTCATGATCCCCACCTTGCCCACCCTCAGGAGGAATGCTCCCTGGGTGGTCTGGAGGGTGAACAAGAACAGCCAGCAAGTTTGCACCATCAGGATTTAGGATATCAGTGACATCAAGAGAATGTCTTCTAAACATCCCTTTAGGAAGAATCATTTTGTGGCCATTTAAGTACACCTCCGCAGAGTAATTGATTGCACGAAAATTCAAATCTAAATGCTGAGGTCTTGACTGGAAAATATAAAGTAATTAGAATCAATGGAATAACCACAAAAAAGAATAATCAGGGTGTGTGCTAGTTGGACATAAGGTTTGCAATATTTATTGCATGCAGTTGTTATCGCTTGAAAAATCTAGCGGGAGTGCAAAACCCGACAAAAGGTTTACTGTTTTCAAGTTGCATTTCACCTCCCAAAAACGTTCCATGTAAAAAAATTGCATACCAGGTGACACTGAAATTTTGTGAAAAACCAGAATGTGTAGTATTCCCTTCCAGAATCAGCTATATCAATTATCATCTCATTCTCCAAACCATGGAAAGGATCAGCAACAACTTTGTTCTTCACTAGTGTCGCCAGAACACTGCCAATAAAGCATATAATCCATAGAAAAAGAATGAGACATCACATACTAGTTCCATCAAAGATAACTCAACTCCCAAGCAAATGTAACTGCAATATTTATAACCACAAGCAAACCATCATGCATTGTAAATATAGTTCCCTACAAGTAGATGTAAAATCATCAATTGTGTTGATTATTATCAGCTAAAGCTACCATTGATCCCATAAATGATGATTTTAACCCAAAAGTCCAAAACAATGATAAATAACTACAAAGTTTAATCTGAAAAAACAAAAACTGTATTATTGATCCCTTAGCTACTACTGCTTCCAACACAGTTGCTACAAAGCAAGAGAAAAGAGCAAAAGCATATCATAACTGATTAAAAAGGAAAAAGGAAAAAGGAAAAAGGAAAAATATACTCACACACAACTATAGTTACACCTTCCCATCAACCATAATTTAATATATATATTTTTTCAATTATCCAAACCAAAAATGGCAAGTTAAAAAAACTGACAACCAAGCAGAACCTAAGGAATCTTAAATTTTAATTTATTTATCCTAAAATTAAATTTATTTTTTCTTTCAAAAATCAATTGATATGTAACCAGCATTTTTTCAAAAATTCAATCTCACTCATTACCTCTTCATTTCTTGATATCAAACACATAAATCCTTTTCCATACCAAAAACAAAAGCAATTTAATTTAATCAAGCAAACCTCGGCATAAATTTCAACAACATCAGAAGAAAAACGATGCTATGTATATATATGGAAAGAATAAATAAATAAATTTTTCCGTTATGCAAAATCGGAATTAAATTGATGAAAACATATGCAAAAATCAAAGCTTTATTACGTTCCGGGAACGACAGCTTCCATCCAAGGAGAGGTTGGGCCAGTCGGGGGATGAGTCGTTGTGAGCTGCGTTCCAGTGAGTTCAACCTCGGTGGATCTCGCCGCTAACCATCCCGATTCAAGCGGAGTTTTCCCTATCTCCGCCATTGCCGAGTTTTCGACTCTGATGCTCTCGATTCAATCAGTTCGCGCTGTGTTAACCGAATTGAAGAGATTCTGATGAGATCTTTCTTTTTCTTCTCCCAGAGACATTCAGTAAAGTCGCCACGTCTAAAGGAAGACATAGAAAACTGTGATCGCCTTCAATAAGTCACGTGGGATTTGTCTATGGTCAAATGTTATAGAAGATCTCTATACTATACAATGTTTTATAAATTTAATCTCTGTATTATAATTTGCTTTTTTTAGTCCTTTAATTTTCAAAACGTGACATGAGACCAACTTTTTTTAAGTTAATTCCATTTTATAATTTGAAATGGGTTTTTTTAAATATATAATTACTTATCATATATGTTATTTAATACATTTTTCTTTTGGCACATTTTCGATTTCCTTATCAATTGTTTGGTCGTTTTTATGTTTTATTTTTTTAATGTTGGATTTACGACGTCTCGACTGATTAAGATGGCGTTTATTTGTTATCTTATTGATCTTCGTTGCTTTGGACCCTCGAATTGGATTTGGATATGCAGTTGCATTGATGGATAGTTTTCTCATGTCGTTTGACTTTGATTTACGATTTTTCGATCGTCTTTTAGTAGTTTTATCTTCTTTTGTGGTTCGTTTGTCAACGCATTTAGATTTATTCGTATATATTTTTGTTTTAGTTTTTTTCTTCTTTTTTTTAATTTTTAACTTTTTCCTTGTATTATATCAAGTTGTTAATTTTTTTATCAATGATTATAATAAAATATCTTAATTCTTTATTTAGTTTACAATTATAATTATAAAATTTTCTTGTAATTATAAATATTTTTCTTTTTAATAAAACTAACTACTTCTACTTAAAAAAAGGTTAAATTTGGTACAATTTGAGTCATTTTTATCAAATGAGAATTTATTAACTAAAAATAAAATACCAAAAAACCAACTTAGTGATCTTAGTGGTTAAAGAGAGTATGGACGAAATTATGCCTCGTCCCGGGGCTCACTGCCTCTCTATTTTTTTATTATTAAAAATATGTATAGATAAATTCCAAATTAGAGCTATTACCTTTAGTTTATTTTGTATTTGTCCTCCTTATTTTCTATGGTTAATTATATTTTGCCCCCTTTATTTTTTATGGTTAGTTATATTTTATCCCCTTGAATTGGGATTCTGATTCCGTCACAAAAAGAAAGTGTTATTCTCCTTTGAGATTATGAGTTTGAGATCTTACAATTACAAGGTGTGTGTACGCTATTGAATAGATATTATCTTACAATCACCTCATATTATTAAAAAAAACAAAATACCAAAAAGAAAAGGGCAACCCAAGTACCCAACAACAATAAACAATAGTTGATTATTTAATTGATGAATTTTCAACAACATATTTCTCATTGCAGTAAGCTTAATATTCATATTTTTTTTCAAGAACAGCAATGATCTGTACAAAATGCAATTACCCTACAAACAATAACTCATAAGATACATTTACAAGGTTTATTATCAATGGAAATTTAGGGACTGGGAATCATTGTTTATCAACGGGCCGAGTGTTGTTCCAAAGCCATTGACTAGCAGAGCCTTCCAGCAATGGTGAAACCTGCAAACAACTTAAATTTAGCTTTTACCATAACTTGAGAACTCTACAAGTAGATACAACATAACACTTTAACCGTAATCCAATACATGCGTGTCTAGTACCTACCTTTTCCCATACTTGTGAATGGTAACAGTTGACCCATTCAATCTCGTTGACGGAGAGCAAAGATAAGTCCACCAGTTTAGTCTGCACCCCAAACATAAACATGACTTAATATATCTCCAACTCGAACTTTAGTATGTTCATGTTATTAGCAGATATCGTTCCTAGAAGATCAGATTTCTTATACTTCCGAGTGAATATTTCAACTTAATCTATTAGCGAATTTGAGTTTTGGACCTTAAGTTTCTTAGAATGGATCGAAAACCGGTTGTGACGAGTAATTTTTAGCCCAGAAGAGCTTCATGTGGTGGAGTTAACAGACAGGAAAGCGGGTAGAAAAGTGTGTTTTAATGTATAAAGGAAGATCCAGATTCCAGACAGCATAAGTGATAGCATACCTGAATGGGGACATATGTTAGTTTTTCGAATCCGAGATATTCGATTCCTCCATAACGATAAGGTGTATTCATCTCTCGTACACAAAGGAGATTCTGCAAGAGGAGAGAGGCCTAAGTTAGTAATGAGTCTATCTAGCCATATATCATCTAATTAGAAGGAATTGAACAAACTTCTCAAACAGTAACTAGATGGTTTCGAAACAATGCTCGACTCTGACATAACTTTCAAATTTTAATTGTCATGACTTTGTACCTCAATTCGAATGCCAAAGGCATGGTCCTCGTAGTATCCGGGTTCATTGCTAACGATCATGCCTTTCTGTATAGGGGTCATATTTCCATATCTAAAGCTAATACTTTGTGGACCTTCATGGACATTTAATGCAGCTCCAACACCATGGCCGGTACCTGCAAGAAAGGAGCAAGACAATCAAATCATGATCAATAATAGACCAAGCTTTTCAATACCGTGGAAAGTCAACAGAAAGGTAGGAGAAATACCATGGCGGTAATCAAGTCCGATCTTCCAAAGGGCAGAGCGGGCAAACGCATCCAACACAAAACCTGGGGTGTTTTCAGGAAATACGACCTCATCAAGAGCAATGTGACCCTGCAATTTGATGGTGCATCAGGAAACACCGAAATAAGCAACACAAAAGCTGTCTATGAGCTATTAACCAATATTCTCAAGCTGTCTGTACAACTAACAAAATATATAAAAAATGAAGCAGCACCTTTAGGACTCGAGTGAAACATTCTTTTTCCCTGGCAGTCGGATCACCGAAATGTACCGTCCTTGTTATGTCAGTAGTTCCATCAACATATTGCGCTCCGCTATCCAATAGGAACAATTTATTGGGATCCACAACACTACAACTTTCTTCTTGAGGTGTATAGTGTATAATAGCACCATTTGCACCCGAACCTGCAATATCAGTCTAGATGTCAATAGTTTATTACCTTACAGATTCCCTTCCAAAATAAAACAAAATGTGTCAATCTCACTTTTTTCCAGCATTCAAGAAATTAATATACCGCTTATTGTATCAAAGCTCGTATCTAGGAAACCATCTTGCTTTGAACGGAATTCAAGAAGTTTGTGCGCTACGTCTACCTCAGTGAGATTCACATTCTTATGAATTTCCTCTTCCAGCCAGCACCAGAACTGTGCCAAAGCAGCTGCATCCCTGCATGTATATCATCAATATAAACGTAACTCGTAAACTTCCACGAGAAAGAGCTATGGTATGCATGTACACTGACAATTACCTCAAGTGAGAATTCTGCATCCCTTCTAATTCTGACGGATTTTTCAATGCCTTGGCCAAGGAAACTGGGGATCGCAGATAAACTCCAAAAGGACCTACAGAGAGACCGTCGGATTCAAAATATTGTTTATTCTTTGTTTTGCTTCTACTCCGACGGTTCATAAGATATTTATCGCAAGCGGACTTATAGGTCTCCACAATAGCAGCATTAACCGATGATGTATCTAACCAAAGGTTAGCCCCCTCAGCTGCCAATCTGAAAAAGACACCAGGATAGCATGAAAAAGCATGCCCAAATTGAAGCAAAATGTTTCGAATGTAAAAATAATGTTACCCAAAACGAACCTCCTTATTTCTGAAAGGATGGAGTCATACGGCCTTAATTCTACACCCGCCTTCTTCAAGTGATCCATCACCTCCGGCATGACTTTAGATTTATCTACAAATAACTTTGCCGCGTTGACCTCCACGATTAAGTACGCATACATAACAGGTGAATGTGGGACATCACTTCCTCTCTTCAGAACAAGATGGGGCGTATATTATTCGAATTGAGGTTTAAAGAAAAAAACAAGAATTACTTAATAACTAACAGATCTTGACAAAACAAAATTGGTCCATATTTTCATTTCTAAGAAAATAATAATCGACCAAGTGCGAGCTATAACTAATACCAGGTTCAGCAGCCAGGCAACTTCATCAAGCATGGATATAACAATTGCGGATGAACCGGTGCCAACTAGTTCGGCCCTGAGGGTAGATAATTTGGACGCCACGTCAACACCAGCATATTTCAGATCATGCACCCTAATTGGCTTGTTCGGGGGTTTTGGTCTTGATTCCTTCCATATTTCGTCCACAAGATTTAAATCATACAAGTAAACCAACTCAAGATTCTTCTGAGATATAGCCTCCTTTAATTCTTCTGCAGCATCATAAGAAAAAAGGAACTGCTCCCTTCGAATTATCAGATATCATCAGAAACAGCCAGCATAAATAGAGGGTACACCAAGTGCAAATCGTAAGCTAGATGCACCAGTTTAAGAGGTTGAAAAATTGCTCACAGGATCAATCCCGACTCGGCCACCAGGAGCTAAAACATCATTCAGCCATTCACTAGTTCCCGGGACTCCAAGATTACCCGCACGCATGAGAATCCAGCTTGAACTCAATTGCTTCTCAGCCTAAATAGTCATAATAAAAGATGAACTACCGTCAACAAGCACTTATACCATATTTCATCGAGCAAGATAGAACTCCATTAAAATGACTATAAAATTTGCCAACGAAATAGAACCTGCAGAAAATAGCGACCATCGGTCCATAGAGCAGCCTTATCCTTTGTGACAACAGCAATCCCTGCACTGCCAGTAAAGCCTGATATATAGGTTCTCCTCGTGTAGCATTCAGCGATGACTCACTCTGAAAACCATGCCAAAAAGCAATTAAACTAACATAATGTTATACCTTCCACCCAGACCAAACAGTAAGAAACCCTCTGAACACACCGTCCGGCAACAAGAAACCCTCCGGAGGGCCAACCCCGGTACAACTCGCCAACTTTCAGGTCAAATCCCAATTACCACATCACATCCTATCGGAGCAAGTAGACCTGAGCCACATCATGAAACCGCGCTACCTAGGTCTCTCTTCTTACTTCCCCACTCTTGAAAATTTTAAATTCTCTTATAATTTAAATATTTTAATTTTATTTTTTTATGATCATTTAATTTCGCATCCCTTAACTTTTTAATATAGGTTCCTAAGCACCCTTGTAGAAAATCCTGCGTCCATCGTGGTCCAAGCCTATAAATCCTCAAGTGAAATTCTGAGAATTGCTCATAGAATTCTAAAGTTCAGGATTTTATACCCTAAACAATCAAAATCATTTGAATTCAATAAAGGGGGGACTCAAATTAGGTCTGTTTTTTAGTATTAAAAAAGTATAGAAAAGAAAGAGAACTGAACCTGATGAGCATCCTGAGAAGGAATGATATAAGCATCAATGCCAATTCCAGGCTTGGAAAAAAGCTGGCGAAGAGCGACGACCTTTTCATCGGGTTCTTGAACACCACGGTTCCTTTGAAGCTCCCACGAAGGCTTAGCAGTTACAGGGCCAGAACTACAACACCTTAGGATAAAAAACGGAGGACCATTTCGTGATTTCTGAAAAAATGTGGGGTTGTTTCTGAATTTGAGGAAAATGGGGTTTGAGAAGGAGAAGAAAGGGAAACGAGAAGAGCAAAGAGATGGGTTAAGAGACAGAGGACGCATTGTTCAAGATAAGAGTGGTAATAGCAGATAGTTGAAGCAAATCTCCAGAGGAGAGTTGCTTTTGTTCATACAGAGTGGATAAGACGTTACGGTTTCTGAAGGTGGATAAAACAGCAGAAATTATGGAATTTTTTGAAAACTGTGTCGTTTAAGGAAGAAAGACAACAGGTGGATAATGTTTTTTTTACTGTCCGAAGAAAGACAAGAAGTCAATAAAGGTGTCTTCTCCCCATACATTAAAAAAAGGTGGAAATTACTACAAAATTACTTGTTTATATTATTATAACATTAAATATTAATTTTACATTCAATTATACAATTCTGTCATTAAGTCAGAATGGTTAATGGTTGTTGATATGGCCTACACACCAAAATAATATTGTTTTGGTGTGACTATTCTGATACGTAAAACAACATCGTTTAGACACTGAATTTTATGAATGTATCGATTTTGTCACTCAATTTCAAACAGTTTTCTTTTTTAACAATGCATTTTTTGGCTGACGTTGGCAGCCAACACTGCATGTCATCGCTCATATTTCGTGGCAAGGTCAATAACAAAACATTCGTATTTCATTTTTTTTCTTTTCCTATGATTAATTGTCCACGAAACACATTCAAAATGGACAAAAATTCATTTAAATGTTCGACATATTAATACTCAATCTTTTTTAATGATTGTCTAATAATGTTAGTTTTGAGGTATGTTGTTCGTCTTCTTGAAATATTACTTTTCACCGTTTAAATTTTCGAATAAACACCTCAAATCCCATAAATCTAATAAACTCTCCAAACATTTAAAAAAGGAAGACTTTCTTTCTAATTTAGTCTATTCTGATTGAGTTCCATGAAAAACTAAATATGAAAAGAATGAGTGAAATTGGAACATTTTGGTATCAAAATTTTCACAAAAGACGGACAGTGGTAGGAAGTGATTGACTATTGATGGTAATCGAAAAATATAGTGTCAAAAAAGTAAATTGTTTAAAGATTCAATGACAAATTCGATACACTCTTGAAGTTTAATGTCTAAAACGATGTCATTTTAGGCATCAGAACAACTGCATCAAAACGATTTTATTTTGGTGTGATATGATACGTCATCAATCGTTACTTATGTCATCGTCCTGTTAGTTATTTAACGGAAGAGTAACATAATTGAATGAAAAATCAAAGTATAATGTTCTAATTGATAAAAATTGAAATTTTAGTAATATAAACAAATCAGAAAACAAAATTTAGTGGTATCTAATTTGTCTTAGACATGACAATTTTTATTTTATTCGGAGAGATAATGTAGCATATTCCATATAATAATTTTAAACATGTGATAATGTCATGTCATTACTTTAATCATATTATGATATTCACGTTATCACTTTAAACATATAATATATATCACGTCATCACTCTGAACACATAGCATATGTCATGTCATTACTTTAAACATGTGACATGTATCATATTACAACTTTAAGGGTGTGTTTGGTTCACGAAATGTAAGATTATCGGCGGGAATGGAATTACCGGCGGGAATAAGATTATTGGGAATGTTACATTTTGTGTTTGGTTCGTTTAGCAGGAATGTAAGATTATAATATTTGGTTAAAGGTATAAAAAATTATTGGAATGTATACTTTATCAAAGAGAAAATCGCCTCAGTGACCAAAAAAAAGTTATAATATACGATTTTAACCAACTTTTTTTGGATTTGCCAAAATGACCAACAAAATCGCAACGCGAAATAAAAATCGCAACGCGATCCCCAGAATCGCAAATCAGTTTCCAGAATCGCAACGCGATTCTTGAAAATCGCGATGCGATAGTACAAATTCGCATTGCGATTTTCCATAATCGCAACGCGAATATGAAAATCGCAACGCGAACACATAAATCGCAACGCGTATCCGTAAATCGCAACGTGTATCCGTAAATCGCAACGCGTATGGGTAAATCGCAATGCGTATCCGTATATCGCAACGCGTATCCGTAAATCGCAACGCGTATCCGTAAACCGCAACGTGTATCCGTAAATCGCAACGCGTATCCGTAAATCGCAATGCGTATCCGTAAATTGCAACGCGTATCCGTAAATCGCAACGATAATCCGTAAATCGCAACGCGTATCCGTAAATCGCAACGATAATCCGTAAATCGCAACGAGAATCTGTAAATCGCAACGATAATCCGTAAATCGCAACGAGAATCTGTAAATCACAACACTGAAATTTTGGGTATATAACACTGAAATCATAAACTAAATCCCTAAATCGCAACTCATTCCATCTCCATCTATCACTCTCTCCGGCGACATCCGTTCCTATATCCAACGACATCCTTCCCCATCCGGCAACAGGTCTTAGTTTCGCATCTCGTTTGTTTAGTTACAACCATGAAATCATCTAATGTTGATCATGTTTGGATAGATTTGTGTTTTGGAGGGTCATGGGATAATGTTAATGGTGTTTTACAATATATGCCTTTACCCATAAATCTTCAACTAAAATTGTCTTTACAAAAGTTAACTTATGAAACTCTAATGCTACGTGTTTCAAATAAATTGAATTTAGAGCCCCTAAGTGGATTTAGGCTATCTTATCAGAGAAATGGTAAAGTTTATTTGTTAACCGACAATGAAGATGTTGAACGATTCATTGCTTACATTAGTGTTTCACAAGATGATGTTACATTGTATGTTGTTGAACCTAGAAGTAGTATTGTTGGGTCAGTAGCGGGTAGTAATCAACTAAGTTTTTCTCAAAACCCACAACCTTTCTCTAATCCAAATCCCAATCAACTTTCAGCACCAAATTCCGGTTTTCGTATTGACCAGTTAGACGATGATGAGCCAACAGAAAAAATTGTGAGTACTAGTCAGTATTCGAAATTTGGTCTTGGTCAATATCCGGACTTTGATATTGGTCAATACACGGATTTTGATGATGTTTCAGAAGAAGAAACAGACCATGCGTGTAATGATATTGATATTGGTCAATACCCGAATTTTGATGATGAAACAGCCGTTGCCGAAGAATGTAATGTTGATGATAATGAGGAGGAAGTTACGACTGTGAATGAACATGTTGAACATCCATTCTGTAATTCATATAATCCTGAAGAAGAAAAAGAAGAAGAAAAAGTCCCCGAAGAAAAGAAATGCCACGGGCGTATAACTGGAATATGCCAGAATTACTTCAGATACCGGAAGAAGAGTTGATAAAGAAGCAGTTGATTGTTACACAAAAGTTATTCGTATCAAGAAAGATGATTGTTTTGATACAAAGGAAGACTTGAAGATAGCTTTATATACGAAATGTGTGGAGATGGCTATCAACTAAAAGTTAACAAATCAAGCAAAGATCGTTTCGAAACAAGGTGTATGATTGACAAAAACTGTACGTGGCGTATGATTGCAAAGAGAATAAAAGATTGCAAAATGTTTCAAGTTAGGACTTTTATTGATAAACATACATGTTCAAGAACCCAAGTTTTTCCTCACCATAGACAGGCAAACAAAAAGGTGTTGGGTGGTTTTCTGGCTGAGTTAATGTTTTTGAATGGCAGGGTATATCGGGGACATGAAATTATGACTGACATGAATGCTCGGTTCAAGATTAGTATATCATATTCTCAAGCTTGGAGAGCCAAATGTTATGCCTTGGAATTGTTGAGGGGGTCGCCAGAAGCATCGTTTGCCCAACTGCCGGCTTATTGTCACAATTTAAAGCTGAAAAATCCTGGGTCGGTAACTCATATCAAAACAGATAGAGATGGACGCTTTGAGTTGCTGTTTATCGCCATTGGTGCTACGGTTAGTAAATCAATATAATTTTGTTGACTCATTTTTGTTAGTTACATGCATTTCACATTTAAATGATTATATTTCTTGTGTATATTATTTTGTAGATTCGTTCGTTTATTACTTGCATGCGCCCAGTTATTATAGTTGACGGAGCACATTTGAAAGGTCGATACCTTGGAGTAAACTTATTAGCAGTAGCCATGGATGCTAACAATGGGATATTGCCAATAGCTTACGGGTTGGCAAATCTGAAACCTCTGATTCATGGACATGGTTTATGGGGCATCTTAGGGATTGCATAGGTCCTATTAGCAATCTGACAATCATATCCGATAGGGCAAACTCAATTGACAACGCTGTTAGAAGGTGTTTCCCAGATGCTTTTCATGGACTTTGTGGTGTTCATTTGTATAGAAATCTAAAATCAAGGTCTGCTGGTATAAAAAAGCACAAATGTACATACTGGAAGGCTGTAAAAGCTTATCGGGAAGTGGATTTCAATAAGCATATAAATTGTTTAAGACGTGTTTTGCCTCAGTGTGCTCAAACACTAGAAGATGTCGGGTTTGAAAGATGGTCAAGAGTACATCAACTTGGAGCAAGATATGGTTTCATGACGTCTAATAGTGCAGAATCAATCAACGCTCTAAGTCGTCATTCCCGGAAATTACCCATTACTATGTTAATGGAGTTTTTTCGAGCCTCTATTCAACAGTGGTACTACAAGAAAAGAAACCATGCAGGTATTATTTCTTTGAATTCGTAACTTATCATATTTATATTTTACTAAGTATTGTTTATTTAAATTTACAGGAACATTGGAACATCGTGTTACACCATGGACTGAAAAAAAGATAACGAAACGTGTTGTGAAGTCAACGTCATGGAGAGTTGAACCATGTTCAAACACTTTGTTTCAAGTACTGGATAATAACTTAAATGGGCTAGTCGATCTAAATGCAAGACGTGTAGTTGTATGAAATGGCAAACATCTGGTTATCCGTGTGGCCATGTTATAAAAGTTGCTCTTCATTTAAACCAAGATGATTCAAGCGCATACGCTATGGATTGCTACACTACAGAAGTTTATCGACAGACTTATGCCGAGATTGTCTACCCTATTCCACATCCTTCTGAGTGGGACATACCAGATGACTTACAAACAGTTTTGCCACCAGCCATGGACAGAAGGCTACCTGGCCGACCAAAAAGTCACGATCGTATACCGTCTAAGGGTGAAGAGAAGAAGAGATCGACATGTAG